GGGAGTGAAAGGAGGGCCTCCTATTGAATGTAATATTCCTGCTTCTTGGCAGAATGGGGGTGGACTGGATGGCCCATGAGGTCTCTTCCAACTCTTTGATTCTATGATTCTATGATCTTAGAGTTCATGCCAGTTCATAGATAGAGATGAAGTTGCCTTGTGGGTGGAGAGGGAGGAGCCTCCCTCCCTGGGGTCTCTCTAAGGCCCTCGTCCCCACCTTTTGGGCCTCCAAGTGTTTTGGACTCCAGTTCCCACAGTTCCTAACACCTGGGATTTCTGGGAGTTGGAGTCCAAAGGTTGGGAACCAATCTTCTAAGGCCTGAAGCAGTGATTCCCAACCTTTGGGTGCCTAGGAGTTTTGGCGTCCTGACAGCTGGGCAACTAGCTGGGATTTCTGGGAGATGGAGGCCAAAACACCCCACAGGGTGAGGACCACTGGCCTAAGGAATGGCATGAATTTGCTGGATCGGTCCATTTCTCTTGAAGAGGGAAGAAGTAGCCTTAATTGTATTGATTTAATGTTTTGACGATATATAATTATCCCTTTTGTTATGTATTTTTATCATGTGTACATAGAGGCATTGAACGGTTGCCGGCTGGAAGCCGCCCTGAGCCCGTCCCCCCCTCCCGGGGGTTGAGAACGGCCGGGTAAAAATATTAGAAATAAACAATAAACAAATAATAAAGAAAGAAGAGGGCGAGCCCAGAAGGAGCAGAGCGAATTCTAAATAGTGATTTATTGATTATTGACATGTATATGTTGCCCTTCTCAGCCTTTATCCCAATTTGGGGATTCAAGTTGAAAAGGCACAGAAGGAACACCCTCAATATAATAATAATAATAACACCACCACCACCACCACTTTCTTTGTACCCCGCTACCATCTCCCTAAGGGACTCAGGCCTTCCTTCTCCTGACCTTCCAGTGTTGATATTCCTCCCCATTTTCTGCCTCCAGAAACCCACCGAGGAAGGAGGGAGGCCTTGAAGGGGGCCTTGGGGAAGGGAGAGGGAGGGGCCCCAAAGGGGGCTTTTGTGGGGAGAGGTCTCCTCCTGGGGGCGGGGCCAGGGGAGGGAGGGGCCTGGCTTCTTCAGACCAAGGATGGGGGAAGGGGGAGAGGAAGCCCACCCAAAGGAAAAAGGGCTGCCAACCTGGTCTTGGCCTTGAAACAAAAGAGACGCAAAAGAGACCCCCAAGGACTATCCAGTTCACTTCCTGCAAGGCACCATCCAAGCCCTCCCTACAGAGGGCCATTCTGTAGATTTCAGAAGGAAGGGAGGAGATGCCACCAAACTCCCAGGCGGCAGGATGTTGTTCTTCCCCTGGGATGGAGCTCTTCTTCCTTCTGAAATGGCTTCAAACTACAAGAGAGGAGATTCCACCTGAACATGAGGAAGAACTTCCTGACTGTAAGGAGAGCCGTTCAGCAGTGGAACTCTCTACCCCGGAGTGTGGTGGAGGCTCCTTCTTTGGAAGCTTTGAAACAGAGGCTGGATGGCCATCTGTCGAGGGGTGCTTTGAATGCAATATTCCTGCTTCTCGGCAGAATGGGGTTGGACTGGATGAAGGCCCAGGAGTTGGTCTCTTCCCACTCTTCTAGGATTCTAGGATTCTATGAAACGTAGGTGCAACCTCTTCCCTTGCCCTTTGGACCCTTGCTCCGCCTGCTGTGGGGAGGAAAGAGGGAGGCCCGCAGAGGTGGAGGTGGGCTTGGGCTCAGGGAGAAGGCCCTTCCCCTCAAAGGAGAAAGAGATGGGGGGGGGGCTTTGAAAGGAGGGAGGAAAGCTGCATGTCTCTTTGGAGTCTTAGCCCAGTTAGAAGCCTTTGGACGTCCATTCTGGCTTCTTTGCATTTATTTTATTTTTTAAAATATAATAATAATAATAATAATAATAATAATAACTTTATTTGTTTTATTTCTTCTCTTTGTTGGCACGGTTTGCAATTGCGCCTTGAGTATTTCACTCTTGAGAAATTCCCATCCATCCGTAACTCCCTTGTCTTTTAGTATCTGTGTCCACGGAATGCTGCTCAGCGTTTCCTTCATTTTTTGGAAATCAGCTCTCCTAAAGTCCAAAATGCAGGTTTGACTTGTCTTAGTCTCAACTGCAGGAGCACATGGTCACTTGCCCCTAAGGATCCGACCACTTTGACCGCATCGATGGGGTCCTCTGCATTTGTTAGGATGAGATCAAGAGTAGCCGACCCCCTTGTTGCCTCTTCTACCTTCTGGACCATGAAATTGTCTGCAAGGCAAGCGAGGAATTGGTTGGACCTTGTACTCTTGGCCGAGTTTGTTTTCCATATTTACATGGCAATTCATAACAGTAGCAAAGTGACAGTTTTGAGGAGCAACACAGACAAATTTTATGGTTGAGGGTCACCATGACACGAGAAACTGTCTTCACCTTATCTTTTGTAACAAAACCTGTTGTTTATCCCTAATTCTCCCCTTCCTTTTCGTTTCCACGGCCTTCTCTATTTGCTTCGGTACTCCCCATATGTCAGAATCATGGTACCAGCCTGAGAAAGGGATGCTCCGTCTCCCTGCCGTTTAGATGAGGAGATGGATGGGGAATGCGGGAAGAGAAGGCTCTCTGGTATTTTGGAGCATCGAAACTGCAGTAGTGGAACTCTGAGAACAGCATTTGGCCCGGGTGTGTGTGTGTGTGTGTGTGTGTGTGTGTGTCGGTGGGTGGGATTCGTGTCTTGAGGAGAAATCTTTAGAACCATCTTTTTAGGATTCTGAGAAAGAAGGAAATAAAGACTTGTTTCCAATGATTGATTCATTGTTGTGAGCTTGTTCTCACTTCCAAGATCTCTCCGGTCTGTCCGAGAGGTTCTCCTTTCCGCGTTCAATGCTGGGTTTGTCACTGCTTCCAGAAGTCTCGGCCATAGGGGCGTTTTTGCTCCAGCCTTGTGTCTCTTCCAGTTTGCAAGAAGGCTGGCGCTTATCATGCATCTATTAAAATCTTTACTGATATTTCCTTAAGTTCTATCCTTCTAAGTGAAGTAAAGCACAATGTTCTGTCCTCCTCCATTCCTTTCTCCAGCCAAAGCCTGCAGCTTCAGAATAACACCCAAGACCTGAAGCACGAAGCCCCCTCCTCGGTCTTGACCATCTAGTCAGTTCCTGTTGGAAATGTTGGTTTCCCCCGGTTGTATTTGGATTGGACCACATCCCTCCTCCATTGTTCAGAGATGTTTGCTCCATATATTATTTGTGGGTTTTGAAATTGCTTACTTACTTAGGCGATCTCTCGTTGTCTGAGTAAGATTGTCCTCCGAGTGCAGTGTCCTGTCGGTGGGTCTGTGGAGTCCTGTGGACTTTGGCTGCTGAATCCGTCCACAGAGATGCCCTGGGAAAACTCCCATCTTCTTCAGGCCTGTTTCCTCTTTTCTTCACAAGCACTCTGGTTCATCACGCGATCAACCGGAGGGTCGTTGTTCTGTCGCCACTGGGTCCGAACAAAATGTCTTTATTCTATAGAACGCACACTTTAAACCCAGTGGGAAGCCGGGGTGCCCGAAGAGAGATTGTTAGAGACTTCCAGAAGTAATGGGCTTTGGAGTCTTTAAAGGTACAGCAAAGTCTTTATGAAGGAATAAATCTTCAAACAAAACTTCACGGCTTTACTATTCAAGTCTTTAAGAGACTGGCACTAACTTGGTTGGACTGTACTACCTCAGCATAAGGAAGAACCCTTTATAATCCCTCCCAGGCCGTCCATCACCTCGGCCTCGCTGGTCTGGGTAAAACTGCCCATCCCCAAATGCGCCTGGAAACCGAGTAACCTACCAGACGAAGCTAGAAGATGTTTAGCTGGAATTCTGTGGTTCTGCAGTGATGTCCTGTGGAAACTTCAGGGCTGTTTCCCCCTCTGGATCTTTTCCTTCTGTTTCCCTGGAACTGGATGGTCACTGGATGGACCCCGGATCACCTTTGGATGATCCCCGGATGGCTATTTCTATTTCCCCGGAAGGTTTTGAGGAATGAAGCCTTTCCTACGGGACTAGCTGATCTGCGTCCTATAGACTGGCTTCCTTGTGTGACTGAAAATAGGCCCCTTCCCTCCAAAAGGCAAAAAGGGGGCGGGACCAGGGATCCTAACTATAACTGGCAGGTGGCTTACCCTATAAATGCAAATTATAACAGGAAACCCCCTGCTGCAAAATCCCAAGCATGGGTTTGCACACAAACATATAAACACAGCAAATAAATCTGGAGCTCCTGGAACAGCTGTTCCAGAACAGTCGTCATTAACAGCTTCTTGTCCACAGCTCTTTGATGACATGGTCATTCCTAAGGCTTCCTTTGAAGTTTGAGAGTGACCCATGAGAGCTGGCGCCTTACTGAATTGCAACTCCCGGAAATGCCATAGTATTGAGCTATAGAAGCTCAGGCGGAGTTGGTTTGCATGTGTTCTATGCTGTAGACGTGTCCCAGGTCAGGGAAGCAGAGAACAACCTTTTGGACCTTGTGGAGGCCACTTGGAGGGATCCTCCAAAAACTATCCAGGCAGATTTTTTTCTCCACAGCCTCTGTTTTTCTCATGATTTCCTTTTGGTCGGACAAATATTTTGTGTCTCTTAATATTTTATCATATGCTGCTAATTCATGGAAACGCATTATTCAGAGGGAATGATGCCATGTCTATGGTCTTTCTGTTGTCTGCCTGATGTTTCTTTCGCCAGTGTTAGGGTCAAGCCAACGAAATCCCTGTGCCTCATTAGTATTCCATCCATCATTCATTATTTTCATCCCCCCTCCCATCTTTTCTTCTTTCCTTCTGAATCCATCCCTTATTGTTTATAAATCTGTGATCCCCTTTGCTTGTTTCTGTGTCTGAACGTGAGACCCTTGACGCCTCCAGTTCTTGGTATTTCCATTCGCAATATGAGCCATGAAGAGAAAACAGGATAATCTTGGAAATAAAGGATTTTTTAAATTTTTTTATTTAAATTTCTTGTTTAATTTTCAGTTTCTTTCTTCAACAGGGAAATGAAGACGCCATGAAGTCACCTCTGGCATGATAAGAAAACATCAGCATCTAGTGGATATTTATGAGTTTGGAAACCAAAGCGCAATAACGAAAGGAATCCCATCGGAAGAAGAAACCCTCTCGAGGTGCTGATCTTGTGGAACTCACTTTTGATCAGAAAGAAAAAGGGAAGACTGAAGTGTCCATATTGCAATTAATCGTATACATACCTGTCACCATGGAGAAGAAACCCTATACTTGTCTTGAGTGTGGAAAGAGCTTCACTGTGAGTGGAGGTCTACGCAGGCATCAGAGGACTCACACTGGGGAGAAGCCCTATAAATGCCAGGAATGTGGACAGAGCTTTACTGAGAGTGGTAATCTACGTTCACACCAAAGGACTCACACTGGAGAGAAACCCTACCAATGCCCAGAGTGCGGAATGTGCTTCACTCACAGTTCAAGTCTGCATAACCATCAAAGGATTCACAGTGGGGAGAAACCCTATCAATGCCTGGAGTGTGGAATGAGCTTCACTCAGAAAGGAACTCTACATTCACATCAAAGGACTCACAATGAGGAGAAACCCTATAAATGCCTGGAATGCGGACAGAGCTTCACTCAGAGTAGAGGTCTACTAAGACATCAGAGGACTCACACTGAGGAGCAAAACTATAAATGCCTGGAATGTGGACAGAGCTTCACTGAGAGTGGAACTCTACGTTCACATCAAAGGACTCACACTGGGGAGAAACCCTTCGAATGCCCAGAGTGCGGGATGAGCTTCACTCATTGTTCCAGACTGTATAATCATCAAAGGAGTCACACTGGAGAAAAACCCTTTAAATGTCCAGAGTGTGGGATGAGCTTTGCTCATACTTCAAGTCTGTATAATCATCAAAAGATTCACACTGGAGAGAAGCCCTATACATGCCTGGAGTGTGGACAGAGCTTCGCTAAGAGTTCAAATCTACTTTCGCATCAAAGGACTCACACTGGGGAGAAACCCTTTAAATGCCTAGAATGTGGACAGAGCTTCACTGAAAGTGGAACTCTACGTTCACATGAAAGGACTCACACTGGGGAGAAACCCTATAAATGCCAAGAGTGTGGACAGAGCTTTGCTCAGATTGGAAATCTACATAGACATCAAAGGACTCACACTGGGGAGAAACCCTATAAATGCCTGGAGTGTGGACAGAGCTTTGCTCGGATTGGAAGTCTACGTTCACATCAAAGGACTCACACTGGAGCAAAACCCTATTCATGCCCTTAGTGTGGACAGAGTTCCACTCAGAAACACAATCTGTACACATATCAAAGGTTGCAAACTGGGAGAAATCTTATAAATGCCTGGAGTGTAGACAGAGCTTCACTGAAAGTGGAAGTCTATGTTCACACCACAGGACTCACACTGGGGAGAAACCCTCTACATGCACAGAAGAAATATGTTTCTTAAAAATTCTGGATGGTCATCTAGAAAGAAAATTGAAAGATTGCTAAAATACCTGTTTTGACAGGCCTTTGATTTTTGATATTGCTGTTTTTAAATTGTTTTTAAATTGTGTTAGATTTTAGCCATTCTTGTAAGCTGCTCCGAGCCCCAGGGAAGTGGAGGCATATAAGTTCGAATAATAAATAAATAAATAAAATATATGATAATCAGGCTGCCGAGCGTTGGACCAATTGAAGTTTCTGAACTGTCTTCAGGGGAAGCCCCATGTAGAGTGCATTGCAGTAAACCAGTCTAGAGGTAACTAAAGTGTGGACCACCGTGGTCAGGTCAGACTTCACAAGATATGTTCACAGCTGGCACACAAGTTTAAATTGTGCGAAGACCCTCCCAACCACCGCCAACACCTGTATGTCAAGTGTCAGCGCTGAATCCAGGAGGACCCCCAAGCTGTGGACCTGGGCCTTCAGTAGGAGTGCAACCCCGTCAAGCACAGGTTGCCACCCAATGTGCGACTGACCTGGAGGACCTCTGTCTTGTCAGGATTAATCTTCAGCTTGTTTGTCCTCATCCAGATCGTCACAGCAGCCAGGCACTCGTCCAGCATCCGAGGGGCTTCCTTGGATTCTGGTAGAAAAGAGTAGTGGAGTTGGGTGTCATCTGCATAGAGATGGCACCATACTCCAGAACTCCAGATGACCTCTCCCAGCGGTTTCATGTAGATCAGTGGTTCTCAACCTGGGGTCCCCAGATGTTTTTGGCCTACAACTCCCAGAAATCCTAGCCAGTTTACCAGCTGTTAGGATTTCTGGGAGTTGGAGGCCAAAAACATCTGGGGACCCCAGGTTGAGAACCACTGATGTAGATGTTAAAGAGCAAGGAGGACAAGATAGATCACTTTCAAAAACATTGGAACTTTAAATAAACTCTTTCCTGACAACAGGCATCCTCATGAGGGCGGCACTCATGAGGACTCTGGCCTCACGAGTGGCGCCCTGGCCTTTGGGAGGAATGAAACTCCACATTCCAGGTGGACAATGGGAGGAAACGGGAGATCAGAAGTTCTCTAAAATTGTGGTGTGTTTCCATGCTCAGTGTCCCTGGACTGTGATGCGGCTCATGACATAGAGCCTGGTCAGAATATATCCAGCCAGAAGGAGAGGGAGGGAAGGATGATGGGGCAGAGGGAGGGAGGGCCTCCTTGGGCAGGAAGACCAGATTCTGAGAGAGTAGAAAGACAGAGGGGGAGGGGGATGGGCCTGCTCTCCAGTGAGGTCTCCCAGTTGGACATGAGGTGAAGAGCGGGCCCGGCTGCAGATGTCTGTTAAAGAGGCTTCCATTTTGGGTAACAAGCCCCAGCAGTTCAGGCTCCAGGAGAGAGGGAGGGGGTCTCCTGGGTGGGACCCCTCTTCCTCCCTGGGGGTCCCTAAGGCCCAAGGAATGGCAGGAATTTGCTGGATCGGTCAATCCCTCAAAAAGAGAAAGAGAAGGAGGAACCTTGAAAGGAGGGAGAGGGTGGGCTGGGTTATTTGGTGGAAGGGAAGAGAACTGGGCTGGGAGCCTTAGAGAGAGAGGGGGGGGGCGGGAAACTGGGGCAGGTTTCCACCCAGAAAAGGGCCAAAGGCAGGTGTTACAAGGCCTGCAAAGGGCCTCTTTTCCTCTCCCAGTATTCCTTGCTCTCCATGTGGGAGGGAGGGAAGGAGGGGAATCAGACAGTGTAAATCTCCAAGGTTGGACGGTGGAGCCAGAAACAACATCTTTAGAGAAGGGGTCGAGTGATGAGCTAATTGAAACAGAAAGTTCTCAAGGGAATTCACCTGCTTTACAGAGGTTAGCCAAGGTCTTTGTTTACAGTCAGACCTGAGAACCAGCTCCGTATGTCCGAGAGGTTACGTGGGAAAGAGATAGAGAAAATGCGTGGGAAACGGAATGATTTCATGAGTGCTATTTAAAAGCTTGTTTACCTGGCGTTAGCCTATAAAGCCCTAAACGGTTCTGGCCCTACTTACCTCTCTGAACGCATCTCCTCCTATCAACTGACTAGGACACTAAGATCATCTGGGGAGGCCCTGCTCTCTGTCCCGCCCGCATCACAGGCACGCTTGGCGGAGATGAGAGACAGGGCCTTCTCAGTGGTGGCCCCTCGGCTGTGGAAGGAAGGCCCTGCCTGCAGTTATCAGATCGGCCCCCTCCCTGCTGGCGTTCCGGAGGAAAGTGAAGACCTGGCTGTTCAAACAAGCATTTGATTAAACAGTGTAATTGAACATAGGAATGCGGACTAATGGATGATGAGACTGGATTCTGATTTTACTGATGAGGTGCTAATGATTGTTATACGGATGTTTAATGATTTATGTTACAATTGTTTTTAATTGCCCTATACCTACACTTGTCTCGTGATGTTTTGTATCGATGCTGTTCACCGCTTTGAGTCGCCTGAGGGCTGAGAAAAGCGCTATAGAAATAAAGTAAGTAAGTAAGTAAATAAATAAATAAATAAATAAGGTAAAATACCTTCGAATCAGTTATGGCGATGTTGGCTTTTGAGGGAGAAGCTAGGCCTGAGATCTTGGATTCCTGTGTCAAGTCCCGGGTTTGGATTCAATTATCCTGGAGGTTCCATGATTCCTGCTCAAGCATTCTTAGAACACCTTTTGTGTCTGGATTTATGATGTGCTTGTGCTTTTTTGGATATTCATGTACTGTGTTACCTTGGGATTTGCATGAGACATTTAGATTCCCGGGTGGGTGTTTTCTAGTCCTAAGCCTTTTTTGGGCCAAACCTCTTGATTCCTGCTTTTATCATATCTATTTTTCTGTATTTTTGCAATAAACTGTTTGATGACACTCGGGACTCTTGTGTGGTGCTGTGGTCCCTAGTGGCTGCAGGCCTGGGGTGCAACACCTCTGGGTATTTGGCATGACGTTTCCTTCTCAGAGTTTGGCCTGAACATTTTTGGAAGTCATTTGCTCCCCGTCACCCTCCCTCCTCTGGTCCCGCCCCCAGGAGGAGACCCCCTCCCCACAAAGGCCTCCTTTGGGCGAACAAAATACGCTCTTATAATGCAGATGGGAATCGTATTTCAGCTCCTCCAAATGTTGATAGTTTTGGAGAAGTCCAACTCGGCAGTTTCAGAGTTCCAGCTAAACCAGGCCAGCAGGACAGAGTGCCTGCAGGATGAATCCAGCTTGCAAAGGCCAGGCTTCCCATTGGCTGGTATGCTAAGGTCTCTCAAGGCAAGGGAGAAGCCCATCCCTCTCCTCGGCCCTCTCTTGTGCTGCTCCCATGGGGACAACATCAGGCTGAGGACTTACTTACTTAGGCGATCCCTCGTTGGACGAGTAAGATGGTCTTCCATGATGGGTTTCCTTGTGGATTCGTAGGTGGCTGTGGAGCCCTATTCTTGACCCGCATCTTCTCCCACAGTGAAGGCATTGGTTTCCAGGTGGAAGGCGGTCCCGGTCGGGGTTGGCTTGACGCGCCTTCCTCCTGGTTGAGGAAGGGGAAAACCAACTGGGGGGAAGAGATGTGCTTCCTTTAGCCATCAATCATTGACCCATTGGGCTGCCCAGCCCCATTCTGCTCCATCAGCATCACCATTGAGAATGTCCTCTGGAGGTCTCTCTCCAGCCTCTCTTTGAAGTCATCGAGTGAGAGAGAGAGAGAGAGAGGAATGCCCACCTCTCCAGGTCCTTGATTCCATTCCCAAATCAAAGTCCAACCCCCTTCGTGGACAGCAAGTTAAACATGAGCCAACAATGTGATGTGGCAACAAAAAAAAGTCAATGGGATTTTGTTCTGAATCAATAGGAGCCTAGTGTCTAGATCCAGGAAAGTCCTGCTCCCCATGCTCTATTTCGCTTTGGTTAGACCACACCCAGAATCACACTGTGTTCAGTTCTGGGCCCCACAATTGAAGGGAGAGGTTGACAAGCTGGAATGTGTCCAGAGGAGGGTGACTAAAATGATCAAGGGTCTGGAGAACAAGCCCTATGAGGAGCGGCTTAGGGAACTGGGCATGTTTAGCCTGAAGAAGAGAAGGATGAGAGGGGATATGATAGCCAGGTATAAATATGTGAGAGGAAGCCACATGGAGGAGGGAGCGGGCTTCCTTTCTGCTGCCCTGGAGACTAGGACGCAATGGAACAATGGCTTCAAACTACAAGAAAGGAGATTCCATCTGAACATGAGAAAGGACTTCCTGACTGTGAGAGCCGTTCAGCAGTGGAACTCTCTGCCCCGGAGGGAGTGTGGTGGAGGCTCCTTCTTTGGAGGCTTTTAAACAGAGGCTGGCTGGCCATCTGTCAGGGGTGCTTTGAATGCAATATTCCTGCTTCTTGGCAGAAGGGGGTTGGACTGGGTGATGGCCCAGGAGGTCTCTTCCCACTCTCGGATTCTGATTCTAGGAGGCCGCGCCCTCTCTCTGGACATGGCGGACAGGCGCCCCAAAGAGAGGCAGGGCTCGGGGTGAGGAAAGAGAGATTCAGAGGGGAGATGGAGGGAGGGAGGAGGCTGGAGGAAGGGGGCTTCTTTCCCTTCCTTCCCATCTCCTGGGACTCCACCTCCCAGAATCCCCAGTCCTTGGGCCAAGGCAGCCGAGGCTTCTGGGAGGTGAACAATAAAGGTCATGATATGGCGGGGAGAAGGTTTGAGGAAAAGAGACAAAGAGAGATCCCGAGGTATGAAAAGCACGGCTTTATTCTCGGTTGGCAGCAACCGGATACGGACCCTCCTGGTAAGCCAGGAAAATAGGGTACAGAACAAAGACAAGGCTTGGCATAGATACCCTTTAAAATAATACGCATGCATCATAAAGGCGTCACAATGTCCGTCACAAAATTCTCCTTTCACATTGACTTCAATAGCATATTTTCATATGTCAGTCTTCATTTAGCCTCCCTACCTGAAGAGTTGCTATTAATGAGGACCATCGCCAGAATGCCTTTGGACCCTGATAGCAAGAGTCTCCATCCATCCGGAGATAAGGTCTTCCTGAAACCTCTTGATGGCCACCTCATTCATCTTAGGATAAGGTGCCTGGAACCAAAATGGATCCTCTTGAAATATGCCCGCGGCCTCGAGACATTCCTTTCCTAGGTGCTGGCCTCTCTCATTTTGCAGCTTTTAAGAAGTCAAGTGAAGTGAAGGTCATGCATACATACATACATACATTTCTCTTATATATTTTCTAACTCCTATTTCTAATATGGTTACATCAAATATATATTTTCCAATATGCGTATTATGTATTTTCATCATGCCTCCATCTGTCAGATGGGTCACCCTTTGCCCACGAATCCAAAATTCTCCAGAATCACTTTGGTGGTTGAGAGTGAAGAGAGGCCTGTTCTCTGTTCTCGGAGGTGAGTTCACTTCATTTACAACACAATGCTGTGTGCGTGTGGAATTTCACATCCTCAGGATGTGTAGGCAGACATTTCCAGAATTATTATGTAAACATTCCTGAATCCTTCCTGTAGAAAGAGTCTCTCAGAAGGAAGCCCCAGAATCAACTTTAAGTAGTTACCAATTCCTTTTAAAATTATGGCAGCATCACAGAACGTAGAATGGATGCGGATGGATATAATCCAGATTAAACTGAGTAGTGTCCAAAGTTACCTAAAATAGCACAGCAGACAAAGGGTAAGCAAACAAAGGTCCGTGAAGCAAAAGCCAAAGTCAAAAACAGTTCAAAGTTGAAGAAAGCCAAGGTCAAAGTTGCGAGGTTCCAAAGTCCACGTAGTCAGCGCTGTCATCGTCAAAAGCAGTCCGAAGTCAAGGAAGGGAGAAAACCACACTCACGGGAATCCAAGTCAAGTTCAAACACGGAGGATACAGCCAGGGGCGGCTCAACCCATTACGCAAAGTAAGCCTTTGCAGTAGAGTTGATTTTGCCCGGGGTGCTCTTGAGGCGGTCTTGGGGGAAAATAGACCTTGACATATGCAAGTTGTGGTTACTGGGATGTATAGTTCACCTACAATCAAAAAGCATTCTGAACTCCACCAATGATGGAATTGAACCAAATATGGCACACAGAACTCCCACGACGAACAGAAAATATATATCACTAATTGGTTGGGGAGCAAGGGCACGCCAAAATACTGTTTGCTTACCGTTGAAAATTACCTAGGGACGCCTCTGAATACAGCAAGCTGCAGATCCAGGACCCAAGCCCAACACGAAAGTGGCAGCGACAAAACCCAAGGCACGAAACCAACACTTTGCCTACTGCAAAGTTCTAACATTTTGGTGCTTACTTTTACCTACAATTCCTCACTCGATGATGAGCTACCCTCCACCCTGTCATCATCACTTTTAGCTGCTACAGCTGAACGCCAACACCCATCCCTCCAACTTAGGTTTCCCCGTGAGTCCACAGTATCCCCAGGTTGCCAATCCCCACCACCACAAAACCCCGCAAATGTGTCACTAGATGTTGGTTGAGTACAGATATCTCGAACCTCTTGAACCTTGGTCAAGTCCAATGAACCCCTCCTCCTCCTCATCACTCCCAGACCCATTGCTCCCAGTGAAACCCATGAAATCCTCCTCCTCTGTGGGAGCATTAAGTATATCCCAGATCTTTTTCCTTTGATACTCATCGGATCCTGACTCTCAAGTAGACCTCTTAATTCCCCTACTTACACCTGCTGAAACCCCTTCCTCCTCCTCACTCATTTCACTTTCAGAAAACCCCTCCAAAGGAATCTTCGTCAGTGGGTGACATAAGTATTTCCCGAATCCTCTTCCTTTGCTGTTCCTCACTTAACTCCTGAGCACACCTTATCCCTTTTCTACCACTCATACTATCAGTAGTAACGGTACCAGGAGACTCTACTACTACAATAGATCTGTAATAATAAACTTGGACCTTTCTGGTCAAGCCAACGTAATAGCTAGAGGTTGGTCAACTGATAACACAGAATAAATATTAATTTGTGTGCAAAGTTCCTTTCTCTTTCACATCAGACACTGTGCTGTGTAAGTAAACCTAGTATACTTAGGTTTCCCCATGGCTGCCAATTAGCTTCCGAGCACAATTCAAAGTGCTGGTGTTGACCTATAAAGCCCTAAACGACTCCGGCCCTGTTTACCTTTCCGAACGTATTCTCCCCTACGTACCATCAAGACTACTAAGATCATCTGGAGAGGCCCTGCTTTTGGTCCCACCGGCCTCGCAAGCGTGCCTGGTGGGGATGAGGGACAGGGCCTTCTTGGTGGTGGCCTCGCGACTCTGGAACTCTCTCCCTCTGGAGGCCAGAACTGCCCCATCCATCCTAACATTTAGGAAACGGGTGAAGACGTGGCTGTGGAGTCAGGCCTTCAATGAATGAGACAACACCATAGGACCCTGGATGGAAGTTGATGTAGATCCATCTTAATAGGACGACTGACCACTGTAGTTTTATATATAGTGTTTTTAAAGTTGTTTTGAAATTGTGATATATGATATTTTAATGAGTGTATATGTTTTTTATGGCTGGAAACCGGGCTGAGTCCCTCAATGAGGTTGAGAAGCTCGGTATACAAAACTGTGAAATAAATAAATAAATAAATAAATAAATAAATAAATAAATATACGTGCTTGTGTAAATAAAGCCAATCAGCTGCTCTGCTGAGCTGAACTGAGGGGTTGCTACTTGATTTATTGGGGAAATCATGTGGGAAAGGCAGAGAGGGATTGTGTAGTCCCAGCTGGGAGGCAGAAGTTTTGGAGGTGTCTCCTTTCCGCATCACTGACAGGATAACTATCAGCTTCAGAGCTATATTAGGCAAGAAACCCCAAATTGGTCTAAAATCACGTCTTATCTGCCACTCCAGTCTCAGCATTTTAAACCTTCCTAAATTTGCTACCTTGTTTTGTTTTTGTTTTTTAAAGTTAAAAGAAACAATATTCCAAAAAGGAGCAATTTTGTAATGCGTAATGCTAAAACTATGCAGCTAACTAGCTACTAGGCTTGGTTGATCCAAAAAAAATGGTTCAGAACTCGTTTTGGGTGTAAGGGGCACTGGTGGTTTGATTTGGAATTGAATTCCAATTTTTCCCCCCAAAAATTCGGAACTCTCCGAAATTTCCAAATCGCTCCATTAATGGCGGACGCGATTGCACAATCCGCAAAAAACAGCACAGGCAGGTAAGTATGGGATTTCTAGTGTCTTCTTAGGCAACTCACAGAAAACAAAGAAAATAACAAACAACCCTGCCCTTTTCGCCTTGGAAGCAGATTTCACTCCTTTGGGAAGGAGAGTTTGTGTTCAAAGAATTGATGGGAGATCTAGTTCTTTTGAGGCAATGTGCAACACAAACGAAAAACACAGAGGCCAGAGAGACCAGCTACAATGTTGGCTTTTAAAAATGTCGGAGTGAGTGCTTTGGTTCCTCGGTGTTGCTCCTTCCACCCATGCCACTCACCCACACACTACCCTTGCAGTGCCCACCCGACCAAACGCCAACAGCAACAACACACCTGTGGCAAGGCAGCCTGCCCACTGCTCAGCCAGGCAGGCACAGCTGGCAACATCCCTTCTTCCTTTCTGCTTGCTTGCTTGCCCGCTGTGCTCTTCTTCCAACCTTCCTTCAACACAACTTCCTTCCCCTTAGTCCTTCCCCTTCCCCTTCTCCCTCCCTGGCTCCGAATGAGCCTCTGAGCCATGTGCTTCCCTTTATATATAGCAATGTCGTCCAGTGCCGAAACCTCTCCCCTCCCCAAAACTTCTCCCCTGATTGGCTGGGAGGGGAAGCAAGGAGCCTCCCAGCAGGCTAGAGGGCTGAAAATACGCGGAATCATTTCCGACTCACTTCCTGAGTCATAACAAAAATGGCAGAAAAAGCTTCGGAAGGTCAAAGGGACTTCTGGGTTTTAAAAATGCTTCGAAATCGCTTCAGAAAGGTACCTAACTACATTATTAAGAGTGACAAGTAATCCAACGCGGCTCTATCCATGCCTACTAGCTACTACAACAAAGTGCAAAGCTAAATTAGAAACAAACACACCAACAAAACACTCTTACATAGACACAAACAGACACAAACGACACCAACAAACAAAAAACAGACAGACATGGGTCTAATTCTACAAACCTATTTTTCTACATTATTCTACTCCATTTAGGCAATCCTATATAAGCACACTTCTGCCTTCGGTACCACTCTTCTAATTCATTAATCTTACACTTGACAAAACGCCCCGAATGTTGTCATGAAAGAGTGATTTTGAAGTTGCAATGTTTCTTGAAAGAGACCAAATGTTTCTCCTTAATTCAGCAGCATCAGTTTCTTAATATTTGCTACTTTGGAGATCTCCATAAGTCAGTCAAGCCTCTGGTGGCACAGTGGGTTAAACCCTTGTGCCGGCAGGACTGAAGACCGACAGGTCGCAGGTTCGAATCCAGGGAGAGGCGGATGAGCTCCCTCTATCAGCTCCAGCTCCCCATACAGGAACATGAGAGAAGCCTCCTACAAGGATGATAAAAACATCAAATCATCCAGGCGTCCCCTGGGCAACATCCTTGCAGACGGCCAATTCTATCACACCAGAAGCGACTTGCAGTTTCTCAAGTTGCTCCTGACATGACAAAAAATAAATAAATCAGTCAGTTAACTTAAGTTCAGATAACTTCTTCCTTCCATCTCTGAGGATACAGGATTTTAGCTGCAATTATCATATAGTTTAGCAATCTTTCAAATTTGCTTTCTAGATGACCATCCAGCATTCCTAAGAAAAAAAATCTTTCTATACATTGTATAGGGTTTCTCCCCAGTGTGAGTCCTGTGGCGTGAACACAGATTTCCACTCTCAGTTAAGCTCTGTACACACTAGGGTTTTTACTCAGTCCTTTGATGTGAATGTAGATTTCCACTCTGAGTGAAGCTCTGGTCACACTCCAGGTATTTATAAGCCTTCTCCCCAGTGTGTGTCCTGTGATGTGAAGATATATTTGCACTATAACTGAAAGTCTTTCTATATTCCAGGCATGTATCCCAGTTTGTAGATTGGGTTTCTGAGTGAAGCTCTCTCCACACTAAGGGCCCGAATAAGGTTTTGCCTCAGTGTGAGTCCTTTGATGTGAACGCAGATTTCCACTACGAGCAAAGTTCTGTCCACACTCCAGGCATTTATAGGGTTTCTCCCCAGTGTGAATCCTCTGATGTCTGTGTAGAACTCCACTCCCAGTGAAGCTCTGTCCACATTCCAAGCATTTATAGGGTTTCTCCCCAGTGTGAGTTCTATGATGTGAATGTAGAGTTCCAATCCGAGCAAAGCTCTGTCCACACTCCAGGCATTTATAGGGCTTCTCTCCTGTGTGAATCCTTTGATGTGGAAGTAGACTTCCACCGTGAGCGAAGCTCTTTCCACACTCCAGGCATTTATAGGGTTTCTCCCCAGTGTGAGTCCTCTGATGTCTGCGTAGTCCTCCACTCCCAGGGAAGCTCTGTCCACATTCCAGGCATGTATAGGGTTTCTCCCCAGTGTGAGTTCTATGATGTGAACGTAGAGTTCCAATCCGAGCGAAGGTCTGTCCACACTCCAGACATATATAGGGTTTCTCCCCAGTGTGAATCCTTTGATGTGAGTGTAGACCTCCACTCTGAGCAAAACACTCTCCACACTCCAGGCATTCAAAGGGTTTCTCCCCAGTGTGAGTTCTTTGATGTGATTGTAAAGTTCCAATGCGAGTGAAGGTCTGTCCACATTCCAGACATTTATAGGGTTTCTCCCCAGTATGAATCCTTTGATGTCTTTGTAGTCCTCCACGCTCAATGAAGCTGTGTCCACATTCCAGACATTTATAGGGTTTCTCCCCAGTATGAATCCTTTGATGTTTACGTAAACTTCCACTCTGAGTGAAGCTCATTCCACACTCCAGGCATTTATATGGTTTCTCCCCAGTGTGAATCCTTTGATGAGAATGTAGATTTCCACTCTGAGTGAAGCTCTTTCCACAGTCATGACATCTATGAAGTTTCTTCTCCATGTTGACAGGTATGTATACAATTAATTGCAATATGGGCACTTGAGTCTTCCCATTTTCTTTCTGATCAAAAGTGAGTTCCACAAGATCAGCACCTCGAGAGGGTTTCTTCTTCCTGTAGGATTTCTTTCATTATTGTGCTTTGGTTTCCAAACTCCTAAATATCCACTTGATACTGATATTTCCTTATCATGCCAGAGGTGACTTCATGGGGTCTTCATTTCCCTGGTCAAGGAAGAAACAAAAGAATAAACATGAAGCTGCAAACTTCCTTTATTTCCAAGATTATCCTCTTTTTCCCTTGATGGATTATGTTGAAAACTGAAATACGAAGAACCGGAGGTATGAAGCGTCTCACGTTCAGGCACAGAAACAAGCAAAGGGGACGACAGATTTATAAACAATAAGGGGATGGATTCAGAAGGAAAGAAGATGGGGTGGGGGATGAAAAGAATGAAGGATGTGTGGAAGGAAAAAGGGGACTTTTGTAAAATACTAAAGAGCCACATTTATTTCAGAGAGAGGCCCCCAGCGAGGGATGTAGGAAGGGGGGTCCCACCCCAAAAGGAAGGCCCCCCCTCCCCCCACAAGACAACTTGCCGGAAACCAGGCCTCTCCCCCCCCCCCAAGAGCTCTTCTCTAGTCTCGCAGAATCCAGGCTTCCTTCCCAAGGAGGCCTCTCTCCCTCCCTCTGCCCCTTTCTTCCCTTTCCTTCTGGCTGGATATGTTCTCACGAGGCTCTCTGTTTTGAGGTGCATCACAGTCTAGGGACATTGAGCATGGAAGATCACCGCCATTCTAGAGAAGAGCAGGCCTCCCTTTCTTCCCTTTGGAATGCGGGTTTTCCTTCCTCCCAAAAGCCAGGCCGGCAATCATGAGACCGTAGCGCCCCCCCCCCCCGTCCCTCCTGGGAGAAGGGGGAAAAAAGTGTGTGTGTGTGGGGGGGGAGAGCACCAGAGTGAAGAGAGAGGGGCAGAAGGCAGTTCCATCTTGTCTCCTGTGCTTTACTAATAATGTAATATAATATATTGTATATACATATACTATTTATAGCAGTGGTTCTCAACCTGGGGGTCGGGACCCCTGGAGGGGTCATGAGGGAGTGTCAGAGGGGTCACTAAAGACCATCAGAAAACACAGTATTTTCTGTTAGTCATAGGGTTGTATGTGGGAAGTTTGGCCCAATTTTATCATTGGTGGGGTTCAGAATGATCTTTGATTGCAGGTGAACTATAAATCCCGGCAACTACAACTCCCAAGATATCAAGAACTATTTCCCCCAAACCCCACCAGTGTTCACATTTGGGCATTGAGTGTTTGGTCTTGATCCATCATTCTTTGAGTCCACAGTGCTCTCTGTATGTAAGCGAACCACAACTCCCAAACTCAAGGTCAATGCCCAGCAAACCCTTCCAGTATTTTCTGTGTGCCAAGTTTGACACAATTTCATCGTTGGTGGAATTCAAAATGCTCTTTGATACCAGGTGAATTATAAATCCCAGCAACTACAACTCCCAAATGATGAAATCACCCTCCCCCCCCAACCCCACCAGTATTCAAATTTGGGCATATTGGGTATTTGCGCCAAATTTGGTCCAATGAATGAAAATACATCCTGTATTTCAGATATTTACATTACGGTTGATACCAGTAGCAAAATGACAGTTATGAAGTAGCAAGGAAAATAGTTTTATGGTTGGGGGGTCACCACAACATGAGGAACTGTATTAAGGGGTCGCGGCATTAGGAAGGTTGAGAAACACTGATTTATAGTATTACTAGCTGTCCCCTGCCACGCGTTGCTGTGGCCCACATGGGGGTTCTGTGTGGGAGGTTTGGTCCAATTCTATCGTTGGTGGGGTTCTGTGATTGTAGGTGAACTATAAATTCCAGCAACCACAACTCCCAAATGTCAAGCTCTATTTTCCCCAAACTCCACCAGTATTCACATTTGAGCATATTGAATATTCTTGTAGAGTTTGGTCCAGATCCATCATTGCTTGAGTCCACAGTGATCTCTGGATACAGGTGAACTATAACTCCAAAACCAAAGGACACCCTTCCAGTATTTTCTGTTGGTCATGGGAGTCCTGTGTGACACTTTTGGTTCAATTCCATCATTGGTAGGATTCAGAATGCTCTTTGATTGTAGGTGAACTATAAATCCCAGCAACTACAACTCCCAAATGACAAAATCAATTTTTGTTGAGTGAAGGACATACATTGGCCTGATAGGTGTCTTGTGTCCAAATTTGGTGTCAATTCGTCCAGTGGTTTTTGAGTTCTGTTAATCCCACAAACGAACATGACATTTTTATTTATATAGATAATGATAACTAATATTATTATATTATTTTTCTTATAAGTGGCAGTAGGGGGCAAACCTAGAAAGCTCTATTATGACTCCAGAGCCACTACAAGTTTACGTAAATGACCAGGAATGGGAAGACTATGTCCTGTATCATTGGAAGGTGTTGGGGGGATGGGGAGGGGGGGGGGGTGGGACCAAGGAATGGCCAGAGAGGAGGAGGGGTGGTAAGTCTTGGTAGGGCCATGTGCAAAAGTGAATCTATTCCAGACAAAGAAGCAACTGAAGACACCATTCTTGGAATGGATTTGTTTAAAAAGCATGGATTGTGGTTTGATCCACATCCGCACCAAGTGTGTGAACTTGGGAAATAAAACGGACAAGCTTACCGAATAAAGGTGGAAAGCCAAGAAACTCAAGAAAACAGGGAGTCCCTGAAGAAGGGATGGAATCCAAGGATGATTGCGCCCGTGTTAAGGGGAAGGGGAAGCCAGTCCTTCCTCCTCAAGAGCAGGAGCCTCTCAACAAAGAGGAAGGAAGGGAAGGAGGGAAAGGAAGGAGGAAGAAGGGAGGAACTATAGGCAGAGAGGAGGAGGAAGGAAGAGAAAGGAAGGAAGGGAAAGAGAGGAAGGAGGGAGAGAGAAAGAAGGAAGAAAGAAGGAGGAAGAAGAGAGGAGGGAGAAAGGAGGAAGGAAGGAAAGGAGGAGGAGGGGAAGGAAAGGAAGAAGGGAAGGAAATGAGGGAGGGGAAGGGAGAGGAAGAAGGGAGAAAGAGAGAGAAGGAAGGAGGAAGGAAAAGGGAGGGAGGAGAAGAGGGAAGGAAGGAAAAAGAGAAGAGAGGATGGAAGAAGGGGAAGAAAGGAAGAGGAGGGAGAAGGAGGAAGGAAAGAGGAGGAAGTGGGGGGAAGAGGAGGAGGAAGGAAAGAGGGAGGAAGGAAAGTAAAGAGAGAGGAAAGGAGGGAGGGAGAAGGGAGGGAGGAAGGAAGTATGGTTAGAAAGGAGGAGGAGGGGAAGGAGGGAAAGGATGGAAGATAGAAGGGGAAGGAGGGAGGGAGAAGGGAGGGAGGGAGAAAAGAAAGAAAGGAAGGTAGGAATGAGGGAAGTATGAGCAGAGAGGAGGAGGAAGGAAAGGAGGGAGGAGGGGAGAAAGAAGAGGGGAATGAGGGAGGGAGAAGGGAGGAAGGAAGGAAGCTAGAAGGGAGGGAGGGCGGAAAGAAAGGAAGAGAGGGCAGGATGGGCAGAGGAGGAAGGAAAGGAGGGAGGGAGGAAAGTAAAAGAGAGGGAAAGGAGGGAGGGAGAAGGGAGGAAGGAAGGATGGTTAGAAAGGAGGGAGGAAAGGAGAGAGATGGGGAAGGGTGGAAGACAGAAGGGAGGAAGGTAGGTGGGAGGGAGGGAGAAAAGAAAGGAAGGAAGGTAGGAATGAGGGCAGTATGGGCAGAGAGGAGGAGGAAGGAAAGGAGGGAGGAGGGGAGAAAGAAGAGGGGAATGAGGGAGGGAGAAGGGAGGAAGGAAGGAAGCTAGAAGGGAGGGCGGAAAGAAAGGAAGAGAGGGCAGGATGGGCAGAGGAGGAAGGAAAGGAGGGAGGGAGGAAAGTAAAAGAGAGGGAAAGGAGGGAGGGAGAAGGGAGGAAGGAAGGATGGTTAGAAAGGAGGGAGGAAAGGAGGGAGATGGGGAAGGGTGGAAGACAGAAGGGAGGAAGGTAGGTGGGAGGGAGGGAGAAAAGAAAGGAAGGAAGGTAGGAATGAGGGCAGTATGGGCAGAGAGGAGGAGGAAGGAAAGGAGGGAGGAGGGGAGAAAGAAGAGGGGAATGAGGGAGGGAGAAGGGAGGAAGGAAGGAAGCTAGAAGGGAGGGCGGAAAGAAAGGAAGAGAGGGCAGGATGGGCAGAGGAGGAAGGAAAGGAGGGAGGGAGGAAAGTAAAAGAGAGGGAAAGGAGGGAGGGAGAAGGGAGGAAGGAAGGATGGTTAGAAAGGAGGGAGGAAAGGAGAGAGATGGGGAAGGGTGGAAGACAGAAGGGAGGAAGGTAGGTGGGAGGGAGGGAGAAAAGAAAGGAAGGAAGGTAGGAATGAGGGCAGTATGGGCAGAGAGGAGGAGGAAGGAAAGGAGGGAGGAGGGGAGAAAGAAGAGGGGAATGAGGGAGGGAGAAGGGAGGAAGGAAGGAAGCTAGAAGGGAGGGCGGAAAGAAAGGAAGAGAGGGCAGGATGGGCAGAGGAGGAAGGAAAGGAGGGAGGGAGGAAAGTAAAAGAGAGGGAAAGGAGGGAGGGAGAAGGGAGGAAGGAAGGATGGTTAGAAAGGAGGGAGGAAAGGAGAGAGATGGGGAAGGGTGGAAGACAGAAGGGAGGAAGGTAGGTGGGAGGGAGGGAGAAAAGAAAGGAAGGAAGGTAGGAATGAGGGCAGTATGGGCAGAGAGGAGGAGGAAGGAAAGGAGGGAGGAGGGGAGAAAGAAGAGGGGAATGAGGGAGGGAGAAGGGAGGAAGGAAGGAAGCTAGAAGGGAGGGCGGAAAGAAAGGAAGAGAGGGCAGGATGGGCAGAGGAGGAAGGAAAGGAGGGAGGGAGGAAGGGAAGGAAATAAAAGAGAGAGAAAGGAAGTATGGTTAGAAAGGAGGAAGAAAAGGAGGGAGGAGGGGAAGGATGGGAGACAGAAAGGAAAGGAGGGAGGGAAAAGGGAGGAAAGGTGGGAGGGAGAAAAGAAAGGAAGGTAGGAATGAGGGAAGTATGGGCAGAGAGGAGGAAGGGAAGAAGGAGGGAATGGCAAAAGACTGCAAAAACGAGGAGGGGGCCGTTCTGGAGGAGAGGGCGACTGGGCAGATGGGGGTCAGGCCTGGGCCTGTGGGGCCTCCAGGAGAGAGAGGGGGGGGGCTTAGGACAGTGTTTCTCAGCCTTCCTTTTTTTTTTGTTTGTTAAATCTGTTTATTTTGATTATGGTAGATAACAGAAAAGCAAATCCTGGCAGATATAACCAGGTACCAATATTTTTGACGTGTACATGCCTATCTACCTTATTCAGTCAATCGGTTAATTTTGTCATTAAGTACAAATTATTATCATTTACATATCTGAATACACATAGACTTGCTATTTCTGCCTGTTTTCCACTGCTTTCCGTCAGAGCTCTGTATTCAATTTTTCCCATAACATTCAGTAAATCATCACATGGCATTTTACACACGTAGCACAGACCTTACACTCATCCCCAAACCCCTATCCTAAACAAAATAAACCCTCATCCCACACCCGGTCACCCTTCACCATGTTTCTCAGCCTTCCTAATGCCGCGACCCCTTCGTACAGTTCCTCATGTTGAGGTGACCCCCAACCATCACATTAGTTTCGTTGCTACTTCATAACTGTCATAGAATCCTAGAGTTGGAGGAGACCTCCTGCGCCATCACGCAGTCCAACCCCATTCTGCCAAGAAGCAGGAATGTTGCATTCAAAGCACCCCTGACAGATGGCCATCCAGCCTCTGCTTCAAAGCCTCCAAAGAAGGAGCCTCCACCACACTCCCTCCGGGGCAGAGAGTTCCACTGCTGAACAGCTCTCAGTTAGGAAGATCATAGAATCCTGGAGTGGGAGGAGACCTCCTGGGCCATCCTCCAGCCCCACCCCATTCTGCCAAGAAGCAGGAATATTGCATTCAAAGCCCCCCTGACAGATGGCCATCCAGCCTCATAGAATCCTAGAGTGGGAAGAGACCTCCTGGGCAGGCCCGTAGCCAGGATTTCATTTCGGGGGGGGGGGGGGGAATTTTCAGGGGGGGGTTTCGGGGGGGGGGCTGAGTTTCGGGGGGGCTGAATCTGAGTGAAAGAGGGTCTACCCTAGCAAACCTTTTGTATCATTACCCCAATACCCCCATGCATATGGGATATATTGAGTATGGTGATCAGATCATGATATGAATAAACATAACAGTTTAAATAATGCACCAGTAAGGCCTTTTCGCGAACCACCATGAGAATTTCGGGGGGGGGCTGAAGCCCCCCGAGCCCCCCCCCTGGCTACATGCCCTCCTGGGCCATCCTCCAGTCCACCCCCATTGTGCCCAGAAGCAGGAATGTTGCATTCAAAGCACCCCTGACAGATGGCCACCCAGCCTCTGCTTCAAAGCCTCCAAAGAAGGAAGGAGCCTCCACCACACAGGAGGCTTCAAGGCATCCCTGGGCTGAGGGGACAAGGTGGGTGGGGGTCCCCCCTGCGCCCCAGGAAGGGCTCCCTAGCCTGGACCCCCTCAGAGGGGGTGGGTGGGGGGCGCCTCTCTCTGTCTCCCTTCTTTGGGGCCTCCTGCGTGGGCTGCTTCCACGACGCCCCTCCCGCCGACTCCTCTCTCTCATTCTCGGGGACCCCATCGTTCACACATTTGGGGGGGGGGGGGCAGAGGGCCGAACCTGAGGCGGGAGGGCGGCGGGGAGAAGAGGCGGGCGAGGCCTACGGGCTTGCCTGAGGAGCCGCCGCCTGGCTGAAGAGGCCTGGCTTCCTCCCGCGCCAAGGCAGGCAGGCAGGCAGGCCCTCCCTCTAGGCAGGGACCCCCCCCCCCCCCCCCCCCCCCCGTGGCCTCACCTCCCGCCTGACTCACCAAGGACAAAATGGCGGCGGGAGCGGCTCGGCTGAGGAGGCACCGAGAAGAAGCCCGCCTCCCGCCCTCCCATTGGCTGCGCCCGGGAAGCCCCCCCACCGGAGCCCCCCCATTGGCTGCTTCCCGCTCTCCGGCTTTGAGTGACGCGATGCAAGGAGGGGCTGGAAAGAAGGCGGGAAGAAAGGCGGCCTCTGAGGGAAGAGAGAGAGGGACACGCACACGCACACAAACACCCCTCCATTCATTCCACACACCACCACACACACACACACCCTTCACACACACACACAGCCCTCCATTCATTCCACACCCCCACACACACACACCCTCACACACACACACCCTCCATTCATTCCACACACCACCCCCACCCCCCACACACACACCCTTCACACACACACACCCTCCATTAAGTCCCCACCCCCACACACACACCTTCACACACACACACCCCCATTCACCCCACACCCCCACACACACACACACTCTCACACACACACACCCCTCCATTCATTCCACACACCACCACCCCCACACACACACCCTTCACACACACACAGCCCTCCATTCATTCCACACCCCCACACACACACACCCTTCACACACACACACAGCCCTCCATTCATTCCACACACACACCCCACACACACACACCCTTCACACACACACACCCTCCATTCATTCCACAAACAACACCACCACCACCACCCCACACACACTCCTCCATTCATTCCACACACACACCCACACACACACCCTTCACACACCCCCCATTCATTCCACACACACACACACCACCACCTTTCACACACACACACCCCTCCATTCATTCCACACCCCCCCACACACACACCCTTCACACACACACAGCCCTCCATTCATTCCACACACACACACCCCCACACACACACACCCTTCACACACACACACCCTCCATTCATTCCACAAACAACACCACCACCACCACCCCACACACACTCCTCCATTCATTCCACACACACACCCACACACACACCCTTCACACACCCCCCATTCATTCCACACACACACACACCACCACCTTTCACACACACACACCCTCCATTCATTCCACACCCCCACACACACACCCTTCACACACACACAGCCCTCCATTCATTCCACACACACACCCCACACACACACACCCTTCACACACACACACCCTCCATTCATTCCACAAACAACACCACCACCACCACCCCACACACACTCCTCCATTCATTCCACACACACACCCACACACACACCCTTCACACCCCCCATTCATTCCACACACACACACACACCACCACCTTTCACACACACACACCCCTCCATTCATTCCATCCAGTGTTTTCCTTGAGTTGATTACATCGAATTACACAGGTTCCTAAATTGAATGGCATTGCATGCACGCCATTTATTTATTTATTTATTTGTCGTGTCAGGAGTGACCTGAGAAACTGCAAGTCGCTTCTGGTGTGAGAGAATTGGCTGTCTGCAAGGACGTTGCCCAGGGGACCCCTGGATATTGATGTTTTTATCATCCTTGTGGGAGGCTTCCCTCATGTCCCCGCATGAGGAGCTGGAGCTGATAGAAGGAGCTCATCCGCCTCTCCCCAGATTCGAATCTGCAACCTGTCGGTCTTCAGTCCTGCCCACACAAGGATCTAACTCACTGCGCCACCGGGGGCTCCTGACTTCACCCGATAGATGGGGGATGGCAAGCTGTTTAACCTCAGCAGATTGAAAGCCAAAACCAAGGTCACAACAACATCTGTTATAGAACTCCAGTATGCTGATGACAACATCGTCTGCGCATTCAGAAGATCTACAAGCCACTCTAAACACCTTTGCAGAAGCATATTAGGAGCTCAGCCTGTCATTGAACATCAAGAAAACCAAGGTGCTGTTCCAGCAGTCACCAGCCAATTCCTCTCCAATGCCAGAGATACAGCTTAATGGTGTAACATTAGAAAATTGACCATTTCCACTACCTTGGCAGCCACCTCTCCACCAAAGTCAACATCGACACCGAAATACAACACCGCCTGAGCTCTGCGAGTGCAGCATTTTTCCGAATGAAGCAGAGAGTGTTTGAGGACCGGGACATCCGTAGGGATACCAAGGTGCTTGTTATAAAGCTATTGTCCTCCCAACCCTGCTATATGCCTGCGAAACGTGGACTGTCTACAGACATCACATTGAGGCTGAAATACAACACCGCCTGAGCTCTGCGAGTGCAGCATTTTTCCAAATGAAGCACAAAGTAGACCGGGACATCCGTAGGGAGACCAAGGTGCTTGTTTAAAAAGCTATTGTCCTCCCAACCCTGCTATATGCCTGCGAAACGTGGACTGTCTACAGACATCAACATTGAGGCTGAAATACAACACCGCCTGAGCTCTGCGAGTGCAACATTTTTCCAAATGAAGCACAAAGTGTTTGAGGACCGGGACATCCGTAGGGAGACCAAGGTGCTTGTTTAGAAAGCTACTGTCCTCCCAACCCTGCTATATGCCTGTGAAACGTGGACTGTCTACAGACATCAACATTGAGGCTGAAATACAACACCGCCTGAGCTCTGCGAGTGCAGCATTTTCCCGAATGAAGCAGAGAGTGTTTGAGGACCGGGACATCCGTAGGGATACCAAGGTGCTTGTTTATAAAGCTATTGTCCTCCCAACCCTGCTATATGCCTGCGAAACGTGGACTGTCTACAGACGTCACATGCAACTCCTGGAACGATTCCATCAGCGCTGCCTCTGGAAAATCCTGCAAATCTCTTGGGAAGACAGGCGGGGAAACGTCAGCATGATGGAAGAAGCAAAGACCACCAGCATTGAAGCGATGGTCATTTGCCATCAACTCCGCTGGACCGGCCATGTCCGGATGCCCGACCGCCGTCTCCCAAAGCAGTTGCTCTACTCCGAACTCAAGAATGGAAAACGGAATGTTGGAGGACAGGAAAAGAGACTGAAAGACGGGCTCAAAGCCAATCTTAGGAACTGTGGCATAGACACTGAGAACTGGGAAGCCCTGGCCCTTGAGCGCTCCAGCTGGAGGTCAGCTGTGACCAGCAGTGCTGCAGAATGTGAAGAGGCACGAATGGAGGGCGAAAGAGAGAAACGTGCCAAGAGGAAGGCGCGTCAAGCCAACCCCGACCAAGACCACCTTCCACCTGGAAACCGATGCCCTCACTGCGGGAGAAGATGCGGGTCAAGAATCGGGCTCCACAGCCACATACGGACCCACCCCCAGGACACCGAACTTGGAGGACAATCTTACTCAGACCGTGAGGGATCGCCTAAGTAAGTAAAGTATGACTTCACCCAGGCCACCTTCCTAGTCGACCCCTCAAGGAAGTTCCTCATGCAGTTGCTCCCTCACAACTGCTCCTGTTATGAATTGTAATGTAAATATCAGATATGCAGGGTGTATTTTCATTGTTACAAATAGAACATAATTAAAGCCTAGTGATTAATCACAAAAACAATATGTTGGGGGGTGGGGGGAGTATGGACAACGGATGATGGGATCTGCAATACCTTCAACCAACGCAGCTCTGGCTTCCACAGACCACGAAGACCCCCACGACTGACAGACCTGGACCAGCCTTGGCACACGGAACCCCCACGACCCACAGAAAATACTGGAAGGAGTTGGGGGGAATTGATAGTGAATTATGGGAGAGGTAGTTCACCCAAATATGGAGAGCACTGTGAACCCAAACGTCTCACCCCGCAGGGGACTCAGGGTGGATTACAGTGTACACATATATGGCAAACATTCAATGCCAATTTTTGACATACAAACATATACAGACATACACAGAGGCTATTTAACTTTTTCTGGCCGCCAGGGGAGCTGTCGCTTTCATTGTCCATCTGCGACACTGATGAAGTACCTTCCACATTCCCTGCATGCTTTTGCTGGAGTCCTTTTTATGGCCTCATAAATTAGTTAATTTAGCCCCCCCACACTTTAAGGTGGTACCTTATTTTCCTACTTGACAGATGCAACTGTCTTTCGGGTTGCAAAGGTTGACAACAGGCTACACAATTGGTTGGAAACCCACTCCAACCCGGGCTGGCTTCGAACTCATGACCTTTTGGTCAGAGTGATCTTAATGCAGCTGACACTCAGCCAGCTGCGCCACAATCCCGGTAGAATAGAAAAAGGAATTATCGGGTTATTGTACAAGGAACTAATCACCTTATCTTACAACACAAAAACAACCCTGATAGAGAATTGGAAACAAGAAAATAATAATAATAATAATAATAATAATAATAATAATAATAATAATAATAATCTAAGTTCTTGTGGGTTTTTTCGGGCTATAGGGCCATGTTCTAGAGGCATTTCTCCTGACGTTTCGCCTGCATCTCTGGCAAGCATCCTCAGAGGTAGTTAGGTCTATTGGAACTGGGAAAGGGGGTTTATCTATCTGTGGAATGACCAGGGTGAGACAAAGGACTTTTGTCAGTTGGGCTAGGTGTGAATGTTTCAACTGACCACCTTGATTAGCATACAATGGGCTGACTGTGCCTGGAGCAAACTCTTCTTGAAAGGTAATTAGATGTCCCTGCCTGTTTCCTCTCTGCTGTTTTTGCTGTTGCAATTTTAGAATTTTTTAATACTGGTAGTCAGATCTTGTTCATTTTCATGGTTTCCTCCTTTCTGTTGAAATTGTCCACCTGCTAATTGTGGATTTCAGTGGCTTCTCTGTGTAGTCTGACATGGTGGTTGTGAGAGTGGTCCAGCATTTTTGTGTTCTCAAATAAAATGCTGTGTCCAGGTTGGTTCATCAGGTGCTCTGCTATGGCTGAAGTAGTCTGCAGTGCCTTTCATGTTCCTTGATGCATGTCTGGGCGCTGCTGCGTTTGGTGGTCCCTCTGTAGACTTGTCCACAGCTGCATGGTATACGGTAGACTCCTGCAGAGGTGAGAGGATCCCTCTTGTCCTTTGCTGAACGGAGCATTTGCTGGATTTTCTTAGTGGTTGTTTGCATGTTGTGTTTCCTCATCAGCTTCCCTATGCGGTCAGTGGTTCCCTTGATGTATGGCAGGAACACTTTTCCTCGGGGTGGATCTTCATCTTTATCCTCTCCCCTCAGGAGTCTACCGTGTACCATGCAGCTGTGGACAAGTCTACATAGGGACCACCAAACGCAGCACCCAGACACGCATCAAGGAACATGAAATGCACTGCAGACTACTTCAGCCAGAGAAGTCAGCCATAGCAGAGCACCTGAGGAACCAGCCTGGACACAGCATATTATTATTGGAGAACACAGAAATGCTGGACCACTCCCACAACCACCATGTCAGACTACACAGAGAAGCCATTGAAATAAACAAACATGTGGACAATTTCAACAGAAAGGAGGAAACCATGAAAATGAACAAGATCTGCTACCAGTATTAAAAAATTCTAAAATTGCAACAGCAAAAACAGCAGAGAGGAAACAGGCAGGGACATCTAATTACCTTTCAAGAAGAGTTTGCTCCAGGCACAGTCAGCCAATTGTATGCTAATCAAGGTGGTCAGTTGAAACATTCACACCTAGCTCCAGCAGACAAGAGTCCTTTGTCTCACCCTGGTCATTCCACAGATATATAAACCCTTTCCCCAGTTCCAACAGACCTCACTACCTCTGAGGATGCTTGCCATAGATGCAGGCGAAACGTCAGGAGAAATGCCTCTAGAACATGGCCATATAGCCCGAAAAAACCCACAAGAACTTAGTGATTCCAGCCATGAAAAGCCTTCGACAATAATAATAAACCTTTATTTGTATAGCTCTCTTACTCCCCGAGGGGACTCAGGGCGGTTTCCCACATGGTAAGCATTGCACTTACCGACATAAAAACATACAAAAAACATTATAACCATATAAACATAGTATTATATAACAAGCGTAGTGGGCAGATCAAGACAACCTGGCAAAATGGCACTACCTAAAAGAATCCCATACCTTGTGTGACTGTGGAGCAGAACGGACAACTCTGCACCTGCATTCTTGTCCATTGTGCCCTGCCTCATGCACAGAGGAGGAATTGTTAGAGGCTACAGACAATGCCGTTGCTGTTACCTGTTTTTGGTCGAAAAACATTTCGCCACCTGCATGCACACCTTCTATTTTTGTCACTTTTATGCTAATTTATGCAATGCTTTTGATATGAAAACAAATAAATAAATATAACAATAACACCTATTTAAATGAAAGCCAATCTGATACTCATTACATTAGGCAGCTCAGCTTAAGTCCAGTCATGTCTGACTCTGGGGTGTGGTGCTCATCTCCATTTCTAAGCCGAAGAGCCAGCGTTGTCCATAGACACCTCCAAGGTCATGTGGCCACTGGCATGACTGCATGGAGCGCCGTAATGGTATCAAACCTCCTTTCAATTAGCACACATAATGGGAAATATTTCAGACAAGTGTTGGCACAACTGGGGGGAGGGATGGGTTTATTCTCCCACATGTGGTGGGATTGTAGAAAAATTCAGACCACAGTCCTTTGAGGTGAACGTAGGCTTCCACTCTGAGTGAAGCTCTGTTCACACTCCAGGTATTTATAAGGCTTCTCCTGTCAAACACAAGATCCTTGAAGTGGTTTGGATGCTTTAAGCAAAATTTCCGGCAGGCGCCGTACGCTAAGAACCACTTTTACCAGGGCAAGATTTGAACAAATTGAGTCCACAGAGAGACACGGCAGATTCAATTCAAGAAAGACGATGTACGAGGGGTATTTTTTAAGTAAGGTCCGTTTTGTTGTAGACACTAGTAGTTTGCGTGCATACCGCAACGAGCGCGTGTGTCGTGTGCCAGCATGCCTCGGGAACAACTGTGCTCAGTTTCCGCTCTGTAGCTCACCTGTACGGTTCTGTTCTGTGCTTTAGGAATGTTTAAGACTATCAACTCACCCTCCGCATGTGAGATTCTCTCAGTGATACAGTTTTTGTCAACAAGGAAGCTGCCTGCTGCAGAAATTCATCGACAGATTTGTGAAGTGTACGGTGACACTGTTATGAGTGAAAGCAAAGTGCGTAAGTGGGTACGACAATCCAAAGATGGCCGTGACAGTGATTACAGTGAACTCTTGGTTATCGGAGAAGGCGGCAAGTTTTTATGAAGAGGGTATCTTAAAATTGGTTCAGAGGTATGATAAGTGTTTGAACAAACTTGGCAACTATGTCGAAAAATAGACTGAACTATGTATTTTCTGAAAATAAATTTACTTTTTTGAAATAAACTTTCGTTATGTACTTATGTTCAAACGGACCTTACTTAAAAAATACCCTTCGTATCTTTGGCGCCCCCAAAGTCGAAAATCTGAACCACACTTTACATCACTGCAATCTATATGAAAAAGGAAACAATACTTATGCCTTTTATTTGCAATATAGAATCCTAGAATCAAAGTTAGAAGAGACCTCATGGGCCATCCAGTCCAACCCCCTTCTGCCAAGAAGCAGGAATATTGCATTCAAATCACCCCTGACAAATGGCCATCCAGCCTCTGCTTAAAAGCTTCCAAAGAAGGAGCCTCCACCACACTCCGGGGCAGAGAGTTCCACTGCTGAACGGCTCTCACAGTCAGGAAGTTCTTCCTCATGTTCAGATGGAATCTCCTCTCTTGGAGTTTGAAGCCATTGTTCCATTGCGTCCTAGTCTCCAGGGAAGCAGAAAACAAGCTTGCTCCCTCCTCCTCCCTGTGGCTTCCTCTCACATATTTATACATGGCTATCATATCCCCTCTCAGCCTTCTCTTCTTCAGGCTAAACATGCCCAGCTCCTTTAGCCGCTCCTCATAGGGCTTGTTCTCCAGACCTTTATCATTTTAGTCGCTCTCCTCTGGACACATTCCAGCTTGTCAATATCTCTCTTGAATTGTGGTGCCCATAATTGGACACAATATTCCAGATGTGGTCTAACCAAAGCAGAATAGAGGGGTAGCATTACTTCCTTAGATCTAGACACTATGCTCCTATTGATGCAGGCCAAAATCCCATTGGCTTTTTTTGCCGCCACATCACATTCCTGGCTCATGTTTAACTTGTTGTCCACGAGGACCCCAAGATCTTTTTCACACGTACTGCTCTCGAGCCAGGCATTGTCCCCCATTCTGTATCTTTGCATTTCATTTTTTTCTGCCTAAGTGGAGTATCTTGCATTTGTCTTGAACTTCATTTTGTTAGTTTTGGCCCATCTCTCTAATCTGTCAAGATCGTTTTGAATTCTGCTCCTGTCCTCTGGACTATTGGCTATCCCTCCCAATTTGGTCCCGTCTGCAAACTTGACGATCCTGCCTTCTAGCCCTTCATCTAAGTCATTAAGAAACAGGCTGGGACACAGCAGCCAAAACCTCATTTTTGTTGGCTGGTTACAACCCCATTCTGACAACAAAAGTTGTCTGTTATTTGTTTAAAGCTGCTAAAAGGAGATCGGAGTACATAGATCAGATTGGGGTGCAGTGTACGGGAGACGAGGATAGTTGATGCATGTATCTAGGGCTAAGCTACAATGGTTTCAAGCTGACGAGCATCAGTATATTTGTATTTTATTTTAAGAGGACTAGATGTATGTTGTTTGTTGTGTTTGCACTGTCTGTTTTTGATAAGGTCAACTGGCTAATCAATAAAATTGCTCATTCATTTGTATAAGTGTGAGTCCCGCCTGTGATGTGAACATAGATTTGCACTAGAACTTAAAGTCTTTCTACACTCCAGGCATTTATAAGGTTTCTTTCAATTTGCGTCCTTTGGTGTGTGTATAGATTGGATTTCTGAGTGAAGTTCTGTCCACACTAAGGGCATGAATAGTGTTTCACTCCAGTGTGAGTCCTTTCATGTGAACGTAGACTTCCACTACGAGCAAAGCTCTGTCCACACTCCAGGTATTTAAAGGATTTCTCCCCAGTGTGAGTTCTTTGATGTCTACGCAGAGTTTCAGTCAGAGCGAAGGTCTGTCCACACTCCTGGCATTTCTAAGGTTTCTCCCCAGTGTGAGTCCTTTGATGTCTGCGTAGCCCTCCACTCTCAGTGAAGCCCTGTCCACATTCCAGACATTTATACGGTTTCTCCCCAGTGTGAGTCCTTTGATGTCTGCGTAGCCCTCCACTCTCAGTGAAGCCCTGTCCACACTCCAGACATTTATACGGTTTCTCCCCAGCGTGAGTTCTTTGATGTGAACGTAGATTTGAATTCTGACGGAAGTTCTGTCCACATTCCAGGCATTTATAGGGTTTCTCTCCAGTGTGAGTCTTTTGATGCCTGCGTAGCCCTCCACTCTCAGTGAAGCCCTGTCCACACTCCAGGCATTTATACGGTTTCTCCCCAGTGTGAGTCCTTTGATGTGACCGTAGATTTCCAATTTGAGCAAAGGTCTGTCCACACTCCAGGCATTTATAGGGTTTCTCCCCAGTGTGAGTCCTTTGATGTCTGCGTAGCCCTCCACTCTCAGTGAAGTCCTGTCCACATTCTAGGCATTTATACGGTTTCTCCCCAGTGTGAGTCCTTTGATGTGAACGTAGATTTCCAATCTGAGCAAAGGTCTGTCCACACTCGAGGCATTGATAGGATTTCTCCCCAGTGTGAGTTCTTTGATGCGAATGTAGAGTTCCAATCCGAGCAAAGGTCTGTCCACACTCCAGACATATATAGGGTTTCTCCCCAGTGTGAGTTCTTTGATGTGAACGTAAATTTGAATTCCGACTGAAGCTCTGTCCACATTGCAAGCATTTATAGGGTTTCTCTCCAGTGTGAGTCCTTTGATGTTTGCGTAGTTCTCCACTCCCAGTGAAGCTCTGTCCACATTCCAGGCATTTGTATGGTTTCTCCCCAGTATGAGTTCTTTGATGTGAACGTAGATTTCCCATTTGAGCAAAGGCCTGTCCACATTCCAGGCATTTATAGGACTTCTCCCCAGTGTGAGTCCTTTGATGTCTATATAGATGTGAATTCTGAGTGAAACTCTGTCCACATTCCAGGCATTTACAGGGTTTCTCCCCAGTGTGAGTCCTTTGATGTTTGCGTAGTTCTCCACTCCCAGTGAAGCTCTGTCCACATTCCAGGCATGTATAGGGTTTCTCCCCAGTGTGAGTTCTTTGATGTGAACGTAGATTTCCAATCTGAGCAAAGGACTGTCCACATTCCAGGCATTTATAGGGTTTCTCCCCAGTGTGAGTCCTTTGATGTCTGCGTAGTCCTCCACTCACAGTGAAGCTCTGTCCACACTCCAGGCATGTATAGGGTTTCTCCCCAGAATGAGTTCTTTGATGTGAACGTAGATTTGAACTACGAGTGAAGATCTGTCCACACTCCAGGCATTTATAGGGTTTCTCTCCAGTGTGTGTCCTTTGATGTCTGCGTAGTCCTCCACTCCGAGTGAAACTCTGTCCACACTCCAGGCATGTATAGGGTTTCTCCCCAGTATGAGTTCTTTGATGTGAATGTAGATTTCCAATCTGAGCAAAGGTCTGTCCACATTCAAGGCATGTATAGGGTTTCTCCCCAGTATGAGTTCTTTGATGTGAATGTAGATTTCGACTCTGAGTGAAGCTCTTTCCACACTCATGACATCTATAGAGTTTCTTCTCCATGTTAAGAGTTATATATATAACTCATTGCAATATGGACACTTCCCTTTTTCTTTCTGATCCAAAGTGAGTTCCACAAGATCAGCACCTAGAGAGGGTTTCTTCTTCCGATGGGATTCCTTTCGTTATTGCACTTTGGTTTCCAAACTCCTAAATATATCCACTAAATACTGATATTTTCATATCATCCCAGTGGTGACTTCATAGGGTCTTCATTTCCCTGGTCAAGAAAGAAACAAAAGATTAGGGTTAGGGTTAGATGCCTCCATCACACTCTGGGGCAGAGAGAGAGAGAGAGAGAGTTCCACTGCTGAGCAGCTCTCACAGGTCCACCAGAGAGAGACCTCTTCTCTCTTCGTGGCTCATGTTGAAAACGGAAATGCCAAGAACTGGAGCTATGAAGGGTCTCAAGGACAGGCCCAGGAACAAGCAAAGGGGATCACAGACCTATAGAAAGTAAGGGATGGATTCAGAAGGAAAGAAGGGAGGGAGGATGAAAATAGTGGATGATGGATGGAAGAAAGAAAAAAGGGGAACTGTGTCAAATACTAAAGAGACAGTGGAGAACTGTTTTGCAGTGGCTCCGGTCATTCCTAGAGGGTCGATCTCAGAAGGTGTTGTTGGGGGACACCTGTTCAACCCCACAACCATTGTCTTGTGGGGTTCCTCAGGGCTCAATATTGTCTCCCATGTTGTTTAACATCTACATGAAGCCGCTGGGGAGATCATCCGGAGTTTCGGGGTACGATGTCATCTGTACGCGGATGATGTCCAACTCTGTCACTCCTTTCCACCTGCTACTAAGGAGGCTGTTCAGGTCCTGAACCGGTGCTTGGCCGCTGTAATGGTCTGGATGAGGGCGAACAAATTGAAATTGAATCCAGACAAGACAGAGGTACTCCTGGTCAGTCGTAAGGCCGAACAGGGTATAGGGTTACAGCCTGTGTTGGACGGGGTCACACTCCCCCTGAAGACGCAGGTTCGCAGCTTGGGTGTGACCCTGGACTCATCGCTGAGCCTGGAACCCCAGGTTTCGGCGGTGACCAGGGGAACATTTGCACAGCTAAAGCTTGTGCGCCAGCTGCGCCCGTACCTTGGGAAGTCTGACTTGGCCACGGTAGTCCACGCTCTGGTTACATCCCGTTTAGACAACTGCAACGCTCTCTACGTGGGGTTGCCTTTGAAGACAGCTCGGAAGCTCCAACTAGTCCAACGCTCGGCAGCCATGATTTTAACAGGAGCGGAGCGCAGGGAGCATACAACCCCCCTGTTGCGCCAACTCCACTGGCTACCGATCTGCTACCGGGCTGAATTCAAAGTGCTGGCGTTGGCCTTTAAAGCCCTAAACGTTTCCGGCCCAAGCTATCTGACCGCATCTCTGCCCATGAACCCACCAGGACTTTGAGATCTTCCGGGGAGGCCCTGCTCTCGATCCCGCCTGCTTCTCAAGCTCGGCTGGCGGGGACGAGAGATAGGGCCTTCTCGGTGGTGGCTCCTCGGCTGTGGAACGCCCTTCCTACGGACATTAGACTAGCACCATCTCTAATGGTATTCCACAAAAAGGTGAAGACCTGGATGTTTGTGCAGGCGTTTGAGTAATTTAGTGCAATCTGGAAATGGAACATAGGAATGGAACAATGGACGACGAACCTGGACTACGCTTGGATGATGAGAAGATTGGGAACGGTTGTTTTTCGTAATAATTGTGCATTGTAATTGCTTATTGGTAATTTATGGATAATGTGTTAAGTCATTTGTTATATGTTGCATGGAACCACTGCTGTTTCTACTGTTTTTACTGTTTGTGAACCGCTGTGAGTCGCCTTCGGGCTTGAGATACAGCGGTATATAAGCAAAGTAAATAATAAATAAATAAATTAACATCCCTCCTCTCCTTCAGAAGGAAGCTGAAAACATGGATATGAGACCAGGCCTTTGGGTAATCCGGCAGACTGACAAGGTAATGATGACCAGAATTTGGAAAGGACTATGGTAATGGTGAATGTACTTACGGATTTTAGAACTCAGTGAACGTTGGCCACTAGATTGGCTTTTAGTTGTTATTATATTAATTAATTAATTTATTTATTTATTTATTTACTTCGCTTATATACTGCAATTCTCAGCCCAAGGGCGACTCACTGCGGTGTACAACATAGAAAAACAGGTGCAAAATACAAGACATAGTGTAAAATAATCCACAATTCATCATTATATTAAAAAAAACATCCTCATCAAAAACATCAACATTACTACAAAAACCATTCCATGTCGTCTCATCGTCAAATCCACAATCCGGTATCATTTCCGTTGTTCCATTCCTATGGTCAAATTACCAATCATTGCACTTCTTGCTCAAATGCCTTCTTAAACAGCCAGGTCTTTAGTTTCCTGCGAAATATCAACAGGGAGGGGGCTAGCCTGATGTCTACGGGAAGGGTGTTCCACAACCGAGGAGCCACCACCGAGAAGGCCCTATCTCTCGTCCCCGCCAGCCGTGCCTGTGACGCAGGTGGGATCGAGAGCAGGGCCTCCCCGGAAGATCTCAAAGTCCTCGTGGGCTCATAGGCCGAGAGGCGGTCAGTTAGGTATCTTGGGCCAGAACCGTTTAGGGCTTTATAGGCCAATGCCAGCACCTTGAATTGAGCCCGGTAGCAGATCGGCAGCCAGTGGAGCTGGTACAGCAGGGGGGTTGTATGCTCCCTGCGTCCCGCTCCTGTTAGTATCATGGCTGCCGCCCGTTGGACCAGTTGGAGCTTCCGGGCCGTCTTCAAAGGCAACCCCACGTAGAGAGCGTTGCAGTAGTCTAAACAGGATGTAACCAGAGCGTGGACTACCGTGGCCAAGTCAGACTTCCCAGGGTACGGGTGCAGCTGGCGCACAAGCCTAAGCTGTGCAAATGCTCCCCTGGTCACCGCCGAGACCTGGGGCTCCAGGCTCAGCGATGAATCCAGGATCACACCCAAGCTGCGAACCTGCGCCTTCAAGGGGAGTGCGACCCCATCCAGCACAGGCTGTAACCCTATGCCCTGTTCGGCCTTGCGACTGACCAGGAGTACCTCTGTCTTGTCTGGATTCAATTTCAATTTGTTCGCCCTCATCCAGACCGTTACAGCGGGCAGGCACCGGTTCAGGACCTTGACAGCCTCCTTAGTAGCAGGTGGGAAGGAGTGACAGAGTTGGACATCATCTGCGTACAGATGACACCGTAAATTGTTGTGTGCTGGTTGTAAGCCACCCTGAGTCCCCCCTCGGGGGTTGAGAAGGGCGGGGTAGAAGTGCCTGAAATAAAAATAATAATAATAATAATAATAATAATAATAATAATAATAATAATGTAAAATAACGAGATCACACCGCAACAATTTCTAAGCTGGAAAAGGCAAGAAGAGGCACACAACAATTTGCAAATAGCGTTGGCATAGGGCTCTCCTTGCAACTCCAAATCCAGATGAGCCCTCAAAACCCAACATCATCACCCTAATAATAACAGCAAATAATAATACATTGCCACTATTTATTGTCCCATTTATTCACCCTCCTTGCAAAGGTTTATTTTTGCCCTGAGAACATAGACTTTGCCACCAACAAAGCCATTCCAAACAATGAAATCGCATGTGGAAGGATAGGGCTTCAGGCTGACTTATGAATGGGAGAAAGAAACGCTAGAGTGATGGAGAAGCCATTTACCTGAAAGCCCTCGTTCATGCGGAAGAACCATCACGCAGGCAGGAAAGCCATTTTATCCCTCTCTCTATTGAGCTCTGGTTGCTTGGACTTTCTTGCCATGTTTGGGCAGAAAAGAAAGAAGAGAAATAGTCTGTCAAATTGGGGCACTTAATGAATGGCCTCATTGTAACGCCAATATGTTAACATTACTGTGATAATAAACAGTGCTGTATTATGTTTGGGGCTACATTTATGACTTTCTCCCACCTCGTCTTCATTTATATCTTCCCCTGGGACGGGACATGGTTAACTAAAAAGAAATCAGATGAAGGACCATGCAACTAAATACAAATAATAATAATAATAATAATAATAATAATAGTAGTAGTAGTAGTAGTAAGGGATAACAACTGGGAAGTCATATTTGATACAGAAAATTCCAGCAAAAGGGATAATACCAGGAAACTACAGGCCAATAACATTGATCTAGAGCTGGAATTTAGGGGTCTCTGCCAGGAGGCAGAGACCAATTAGACTCATCAAAGAGTTATTTTTCCCTGGCGAGACAGAGAAGCACCCAATATTTTTCTCTGATTTCCCAATGAAAGGTCTCACAAAGTTGAAGAAAAGCCATCGAGGTTTAATGCGATTCAGCTGAAAAGGATGCAGAGCTGCAATCATTCGCCAAAGCTAAGCATGAGGAGAATACACCAATACAGTCATATTTATAGCAAATTCAAAGTTGTAGAGTTCAAACTTCCTGCCCTGGCTTCCCTGCTGCCCTCCACCATGATTGGACGATGGGCAAACAGCTGGGAGGCGGCCCTCCCACCCCCGGCGCCTCTGGACCAATCAGGATGCTCCAGTGGTCCATAGGATCCAATGGGGAGACCTCTGCCACCTGGCGGCAACAGCAAATCAGGAGAGAGGG